CAAGAGAAGCCTTGAGGCAGTGGTTCGCAGAATGTCCCTCTCCGAGCTCAAATCATGTATTGAGACCTCGGTGTCAGATGGCCATCACTAGTGCGCACTTTGAACATTACCATCTCAGTTCAGTTAACAGTGAATCAGTGTTGCTTTAACAAAACTACAACATTTACTGAAGTAATAAAATCACATGACTACACACTTGTTGTGTTTCAGTCCATCAGAATCCCTCATCTTGACCAAATATCCCTCTAGTTTCTCATGGTGTGACAGAGCTCGGTCCAACTTAAGTATTAAAAAAAAAAAACATTATTAAAACTTTAAAGCATCAAAATGCAAAGTGATTCTATATGACACACAAATGCATCAAATCCTCACAATGTGAGAATCTGAAACCAGGAAATATTTGACATTTTTGCTTAAAAATGACAAATTATAACTTGATTATCAATATTTGCTGACTGATATTTATACATATATATATTTTGTTTGTTTGTTTGTTGATAACTTACATGATCAGCTCTGCAGCCCTAGTCTTAATAGTTTGTATTCCAGTTAAAAAGTTTGTGAAATTCAAAAATAGCATGTAGGAAGGTCATTTTAATTCATGAGACCCACTGCTGAGCAGTCAGTCATTTCAGCTTCCAGTTAAATGTACATTTGTTTCTAAAAATTCAGGTGTGCTGATTTCTACCTTTTCTTGGTTACATGACTGGTGAAACCTAAGCATGATCAGACAGGGGTTTCATCGACTCCGTTCAGACTCAGTTGATCATCTTCTGTCCCCTGAATGTTTGATTGTCCTCTTAAACTTTGCTGCAGGAATCTTGGATTTCGTCTGATAAATGGTCCAAAACCAGAAGACGATTCAGAGCAAATATTCATGTGTGAGAAGCTGCGATCAGCGAGGTTTTGGACCTTTTGAGTAAAATAACTTGAATGATAAATCAATCAGGTAAATTGTTGCAGATTCATTTTCTGTTCTACTACAGTGAGTCTTGAATTCTCTTCAAACAGTTTCCTTTAGTGAGTTGGAATTTTGTGTGTGTCCTATTCGGGCGATATGTCCTGCTGCCACTGTGTCTGAAAAGCAAGGTTTAAGTTTGAGGCAGTGCAGTGAACCACTTCCTTATTTCACCCCAGCAGATGGCAGCCTAACATTTCATTTCAAACCGCTTCTCTGTGGACCTACATGGTTATGAGGATGTTCATATTTGACATTTAAGTGGCTTAATTATTCGGACTCTAATAAAGACTACATGCTTCCTGTTTAAAGAAGAAATAAATCACAGAATTACAGTTGATAAAGGGGAAATTCTGCCATGTAAAGCTACACCTTTTTCAAGGACCACTTCTTGAATGCACTAAAAACTCAATGACCCCTGTCAGACTTTTGGAACTCCTGAATAACTGGAGTTTCCTTTGTGAACACTTGAAACCCCTTTTATGATCCATGAGGCCTTTCTACAACCACTGGAGCATCTTCAGGGGCTGTTGCCACTTTCACAGGAACTCACCTGGTCGCACCAAGGACTTCTAGAACATCCCCAAGGTGCCCATAACTCATGAAAGAACTACTGGGACACCATCAGTATTTATGGGATCATCCAAAGGATTTGCTGGAACACCTTCACAAACTCCTGAATTCACCCAAGGACTCCTGTAACACCCTTCCAGGATTTTGTAAATCAAAAAAACTCTTAGGGGCCACTGTATTTACTTCAAAATCTCCTGGAAACCCCTCAAGGACCACTGGATCTGCAGCCACATATTTAAGGCACCAAGTTCCTCAAGGGCCTCAGTATTCCTGTGAGAACATGCTGAACTCCCAGAATTCCCTCAGGGCCCTCCTGAAGACGCAACAGCTCCCGAAGCCCTCCCAGAGAACATGTTACATCTCCAAGGATTCCTGAGACACCTTAGAGAAGTTCAGGAGACCCTCACAGACTCCAGGTTTGTACGCTTAGGTGAGTATGGTTTGGGTTTTTATGGTCTGTTGCAGTTCTGTTTCCTGTTTATCATTCATAACTTCACAATAAGACTCCACAGAAATAAATAAGTAATATTCCACAGTAGCCTTTATTTACACAGTCATCCACAATGTTAATTGATAGCAGTAATGTAAACATAAGGCTACTTGACATTATTACACTGTCACTCTGGTGTGGCCCAGTGGGTGGTGCTGTGAGTCCATTGGTGATGTCACAGCGCCTCTGTTACCCCCACAAAAAGCATGTTTAGAGGACAGGAACTGAGAACCACGAAATGAAGAGACCAGTTTATTTTCAAGGTTACAAGTGCATCCTCATATGAAACCTGTTTATAAAACGAGCCATGGCGCTTTCTGGGTGCGTCCCGAAGTAGCACCCAGTAAGAACGTTCTGTGGACAGTCACATCATAAATGAAGATTCTGACAGTTTCTTTTCGTTACAGATGAAGAGTGTGTTGTGTCTGTGCCAATGCAGACCAGTTAGCCACACTTGGATCTCAATGTAAAAGCATTAATAAACCTTGACCTGTGGGCACAGCGGGGTGGAAAACACTGACCTGATGTTTCCCTTTAATTTACTGTAGCTTCTGGGAAACAACACTGTATCTGTAGCCTGCTCACTGTGAAGGTGACAATACTGCTCAGACCATCCAGGTAAGTTTTATTTTTGTTCATTTTTGAAACCTTTAAGACATTTTATTTTTATATTTAATTATCTTTAATTGTCAAGAAACAATCTTTCTTTTTTGAACATTCATGTTTATGTGTAGTTTGTCTTTTACATCTTAAACAACTTATTTCTGCAGTTGACTGAGACTTCTTGGAAAATCTGAATCCTTGACTGCACCGCCAAGGACAAAGTGGTCACTGTGTGGAACTGCAGGGCCGCTCACAGAAAGGTAAGGCATATGTAAAACCTATGGACAATTTGTTTGTCTGTAGCAAGTCTTTGCATGTTGATTTCCATAGAAAGCATCATAAGGGGGCCAAACTAAAGGTACTTTTGTTTTGTAGAACTGGTCAGCAGGCTTAGAACCAGCAGTCCACTCCTTTAAATTGCACAGAAGATCAGACTCTACCGTGGCACAGAACCAGCCTCCCGATTATAATCCAGCCTTTTCCAGATGTTATTTCTTCCGCCGCAGAATCTTGAGAACTATCTAATATGCCACTGGGAGCTGAAGCTCAGTTTTGCTGTTCTTATGTGAACACGGCTCACTAATTTAGACTTTGATTCAAGCAGGCAGCCTCTCACCAGTGACCAGCACAACTCTAATCTAGCTATCAAACAGTTCGAGTCAGTCGAGAGATTTGGGTCGAGATGAAAGAGGATGATGTGCAGTGTTTCCCCTAGGTTTACAGCTTTTGGGGGGTGGCAGCGGCGATCATGTAGAGACAGAAATGACATGATGTCGTGTAAATAAGATAAATAACATAAGGCTATTTAGTTTGTTTAAAAAAAGAACATGGTACAGACCTGTTCTATAGGAAAGGTAACCTTAAATGACTTCTGCTGTGATCTGGCGCTATATAGAAAATAAAATTAAATAAAATGAACTTGACCTTCAAGGGGGGTGGGGTGCCCCCCTAATATAATGGTAGGGGAAACACTGGCTAAAAGCAAAGCAAAAAAGGGAAAGGCCTCGATAGCTGCTACTGCTATGTGCAGCTGCCATGTTGGTACAGGGCCACGGTGCCTCTTAATGCATGTCTATCCACAGAACTAAAATTCACTGAATTCATTTTAGTCTGTTTTCGCAGCACTTTGGTTTGTCACAGATCCAGAGCACTTCATGTAGATAGAACCACTAATGCTTCTATGACACAGTATTTAAGATGATCTTGGCCTTACATAGTTCTGTCTTACTTGCATGCCACAGTTCTTTTACAAAATTATGTTTCTAGTGAAACAGTGTTTTGCTGATTTACATTTTCAATTCACACATTTACACAACCCAGTGTTTGGTTCCAGTGTCTCAGCAGGGCTGTGCAGCTGCAGGCTCGGTCCATACTATTGGACTACTGTACAGTGCTACCAGCTCTTTTCTTTTTTTTGGAACTGTTGCATATTAGTTACACATTTGTGCTTTTACAGCCAACATGGAGGTGACATTTTGTCATGTTAGCAAACATTTTAAGTAAGGATTAATTGAAATAAATTCAACATGATAGCAACAGTGGTGGTAATATTATTTCCTGTTGTGTTCCTTTCATTACAACATCCAAAAGCAGCGCAGACCTCCAGTGTTTTCTACTCTGTGGTGGTGGGAGAGAAAACAGTCCTGATGTATTTGAAACAACAGACTTGAAAGTTGTGACAAATACATCAGATGTGCATGGAGTGATACAGAGTTCTCTACATAATGTGTTCTCATAACTCTACATACTGTAAATAATAATACCTCCTGAGCCACAAACGTGGCTTGTATAGCACATTTCTATCCTTTATGCTGGCTTTCACACTACTCTATTCACCCATTCGCACTCTCAAGTGCTCACACATTAACTGGACAAGCCGGGAATCCTCCTGAGCCGCCCTCGCTTTCTTCATCACACCTTTCTCCTGTTTCAGGAGGCACTTCACTTAACTTCACTCTATCTTCATCTATCTTAAATAGATTAGATCTTATTTAGATGACATCTGTCTTAGGCCCAGAATAGACTGTTGGAAAATCAACTGGAGAAAACTGAATTTTGTTTATTCAGTAAACGAACTTGTGGTGGTTAACACCACTGACTTTGGTACGGCAAGTCGGGGTTCGATTCACTGTCCCTGTCACCTCCTCAAACCAAGCAAACTGATATACACACACCCACACACACACACGCTGCACCTCCAGCCAGCTCTGTGTTGTCTTAACGGGCAGACGGACTCCCAGGAGGATTGTGGGAAGCCGAATATCTTAACGAGAGTGTGACCTCCTGCTGAGTGGGTGGCTCATTAGCATATTAACATCATGAATATGTGCACAATTAATGAAGGGCCTCTGCAGACTTCCTGTCAGTCTCTGTGTTTGCTCAGGTCTGAGAAAATTTACTGGAACGAAGATGGAGAAATCAGCTGAACTTGTGATGGAAGTGTTGTCACTGTGGGGAACTGCTAATCCTGACTCCAGGTCCAGTAACAGGCTGCTTGTGACGCTTTCAGCCACTACTCCCAGTGAAGGCTAGTGAGCCGTGAGTTGGTTTTTATTCTATCAAAGTGCTGTTTACCAAAACACTCTTAACCACATGTCCCAGCATCCAAGTACAAAGGTGGCAGTAAGACACCAAAGGTCAGTGTGATGTTATCATAATGATAACACAACTGATATAACGTCACCATGGCAACAATACAATTAACATTATGAGATTACTGTGGTAATACTACAAGTTGTCATTTATGTCACCATAGCAACAATATCATGATGTCATTGTTGTAACAAATAAGTAAAATTTGTTTTCATGAGGTCACTGTAACAAAATAACTGCTGTTGCGTGATGTTATGTGTGGCTTAGGGGTAGAATGGTCGTCTCCCAACCAGAAGGCTGGAGGTTTGATACATGGTGCCTGCAGTCCACATGTCGTTGGGGGCAAGACACTGAGCTCCAAGTTGCCCCCGATGGCCAGAGCAGCACTGTGAAGGGACAGCGCCGCCATCGGTGTGTGAGTGTCAGTTAGCACCGCAGATGGCCACCCTGGTTCTGTACCAGAGACAAATTCCTTGTGTATGTAACATGTTTGGCCAGATAAAGCAATTATCACTATCATGATGTCATATTTTATTTCAAAACAAAACAAAAAAGTTGACATGAAAGCAGATGCTCCGGAAAAGTTAATAAAGCTAAACTTAAAGTGAGACAAGTGAGCAGAGTTTGTTTGACATGGAGCAGGTGGCTGTACCTCCTGTCACCCGCTCGTGTCTTTGAACTGTGTTACCCAGAAGCCACTGGTGGGTGGCCATGTCTGGAAGCCTCATTTACAAGTCCAACCTCAGAAGAGACAAAGCTTTGCTGACACCTAAAGAAGACAAAATTTAGAAAAGAGAGGGGGCATGAGGAGAGATAAAAGCTGGGGGAGGAATCAAGACTAATTATCAAGTCTCACTTTAATGACAGCGACAGCAGAAGAAGAAAGTGCAACAGGAAGTTGTAATTATCACCTGCCAGCGGTGGTCAGGCCCAGAGAAGAAGAGATGCCAAGAAGAACAGAGATCCAGAGTTCAGCACCGTATCTGTGTAACAGTGACAAAAGCAGGATCCGTCACCAAAATAATCTTCATCATATCTGTGAAGGATCAACATCAAGCCCAGTGCAGCTCAGTGATTAACCTAGCAAACATCCACACACTGTAACTACATACATTTATTCAGGTACTGAAATCATAATATGACTGTTATGGAATCCCAGTGTGAAGGGAGACTGCAAACACACTGGATCTTTGTTTTTTCAGTGAGTATCATTTTCAGTAAAGTAGTCAGTGTCCTAGGGCATTTCTCTTTTTTTTCATCATGTATTCTACCATGTAATGCTGAGCAGTTGGAGGCCTAAAGGATAAAGACCTTTATTGGCCAAATATGTTACACACCAGGAATTTGTTTCCGGTATAGAACCGTGGCAGCCATCTGCGGCGCCACCTCAACTGATGCCATCTAGCCATTGGGGGCATTCAGTGTCTTGCCCAAGGACACTTTGACACGTTGACTACCAGGCACCGAGAGTTGAACCTTCAACCTTCTGGTGGGAAAACGACTGCTCTACCACCGCACCACAGTTGCCTCTAAAGTTTAGAGAAGTGAGCCTGTGAGCAAAAGGTTCAGTCCCGAGACCAGGCAGGGTCACATCTGGGTGGGAGAGGTGGCAACGCGATGCCTGGTCCACTGTGGTACCCCTGAGCTGCTCCAGTGAGGCTGCATTGGCCACAGGTCTGTGGTTGTACTGGGCAGCCTCCAGGTGGGAACGTGCACCTGTGTGAAGGAAAATGGGGTGTTCTTGGCTCAGTGGTCTGACCCGGAATAAAAACACCACAGTAACTTCCTTAGAGTATTAGTTTAGTTTCCTCATTTTCCCTCCACATTTTGTTGTGCAGTTAATTCCTACTTATGTTCGCTGCAATGACACCTGTCGGGAGGCTGCGTCATTTTGTCTGAACACAGATGTGTGTGAGAGACTTGTACTGTAGGTAGGAGCGGCTGTGAGAGGCGACTGTGGTTCAGTGGGTAGAGCAGTCGTCTCTCAACTGGAGGGTTGACGGTTCGAATCTGGGTGCCTGCAGTCCACATGTTGAAGTGTCCTTGGGCCAGACATTGAATGCCCGGAGGCATGGTTAGACCCATCGGTGTGAGTTGGCGCCGCAGATGGCTTCCTCAGTTCTGTACCAGAAACAAATTCCTTGTTTATGTGTAACATACTTGGCCAAATAAAAGTGATTATTATTATGTTCTGATTGTGGGTAAACACTGCTGTCTTTCTGAGGACCAGGTTTGAACCGGTAGTGAAGACATTTGTGCCCTGTGAGGACATTGGGGTGGTCCTCACTAAATACATGGACACGTTCCACATGTGCACTAGGAACATGATTGTTTATCAATAAACATCCTCTTTAACCCCTAAAACCATTGTTGTCAGATGACCTCCATCCTGCTGGTCCCTGTAGTTTGTCCAGCTGACCGACCTTCAGCAGTGCCTCACCGAAGTCAGACAGACACACACACACACACACACACACACACACACACACACACACACACACACATACTTAGTTCACTGATGCCCTAAAAACTGTATGTTTGTGGTGGCTATATATAGATATGTGTGTGTGTGTGTGTGTGTGTGTGGTGAAGCATTAGAGAACAAATTAAAAACTGACAAATTCAGTGATGAAGAAAAATGGCTTTGGAGGTGATTGTATTAGAATAGATTTCACATTTAAACATCGATATTTCATTTTATTAAATGACCTTTATTTGGATGGTCTTTACATTCAGTCATCTTATTAGATCTCATGTTCCATGATCCTCTCATTTCATATGTTTGTAGATGGTAATAGAGAAGCAGTTAGACTTCTGCTGCTCTGCAGACTCAGGATAATCACTAATCAATACACATTAGTCATCATTCTTGAATACCTGTGCATGTGAGTGTGTGGACACTAAGGTCAATTATACACCCACAAAATATCCCTCATATTTAGTACTAATCTAGATCTAAACATTAAATATGTACGCTCACTAGATTTTAAATGACTGATGCTTCTACTTAAAATAATGGATGAGTACTTCCTAACACAGCTGGGATCATATAATAAGATATGCCCTTAATCAGATAACAGGAACAGCCAGCTCTAAGATATTTAATGTGTATGTCTACCTATTACCTCACCTGTCACCTGTTCTATAGCATAAAACCTGAACAGCAGGTATTAAACTGTTTACAGCTGCACGTCTGATGAATTAGCTTACAAATGCTAAACAGAAAGAATAAACCAGGATGTTAGCTGCTCTGGTTCATATAAACTCACTGCTAACAGCACGTCTGTTTGTCTTTATGTGTTTACATTAAAAACCTAAAACATTCATTAGTTCATTTAATCAAATATTAAATATGTCAAATTACAGCCTGACTCGTACGCAGTTGGTTGAAGTGTTTAATTATGCTAATTGCTAATGCCGACTGCAGAGCCTGTACACGTCTGGTGTTCATTGGCTGCTACTTCAGTCCTGTAGCTTAGTGGAATCATTTGCTTCAGCTAAATCCGTGTAGCCTCAGTGTATTTGTGTCTCTGTCCAGCCCAGCAGCCGCACTGTGTTATTGACAGGGACATAAAGCTGCTGCTACATATGGCAGCAGGTCCATGTGTGTTATTGATTAGGAACACAAATCTGGTTCAGAGTCAATCAGACCACCCCAAAAAACCCGCCAGGACCAGCTACCCACTGGTTAATTAAACCTTTAATTTCCTCTGTCAATACTGCATTAATATCTCTGTATTGATCTGAGTGTGTGTGTGTGTGTGTGTGTGTGTGTGTGTGTGTGTTCCTCACGCATCATTAGAGAGCAGTGTTCAGTCTAATTAATCAAACTCCCATTACAAGGAAAGACGCTTTATCAGACGCTGTCTCTGCAGTTTGATTATTTCCACCTTTTATCTTTTAGCTCATTGTGTTTTATATTTTATTAAAGACCATCCTGCAGCTGCACTTGGCTCCAAATAATCCGAGAATGACTCCTCTTCATTTTTCCCACACTGACTGTTGCTCTTCCTCAGTTTATTTATCATGTTGGGGGAGGAAAATTTGGGATTTATGTTACTAAGTTACACAAATAAAACTCATTTGACTTTCTAATCTTAGTTTTTAAGCACTTTACTTCCAAGAGTTAAGAAACCTAGAAGCTTTAAAATCTAAAGACCAAAAACATTTTGCAGTAAATGAGATTAAGGCACAAAAAAGAAATTAAAGGCTAAATTAAGTCCATAAAGTAAAAGTAGAACTGTTACACTAGACATGCATTAAAACAAACCCACAGAGACACATTTCACTAAAGTGCTTAAAGAAAGAAAACACCGAGTTCCACCTCCATCTCTGCGCTTTAATGGTCCAAAATGATGTGGCTCCCTTGGCAACCAGTCATCAGACAGCAGCTCTTCATCTGGAGGCTGGAGACATCAGAAGTCATGGAAGTGGAGCCTGAAACGGGGAGAGCAATGTGCTGCTATTACACCGAACCCCCATCAGCCTGCACACTGGGGCTGGAAGGCCAGACACACAAAAACTGCCCTTTACTCTGTCACACTGCTGCTCAGAGGGCAGACGAAGGAAAAATAAATGGAACAGCTGCCCCTCAAGACACGACATGAAAGGACAGATGTTAGGGTACAGGATTATTATTACAATACTGGTTTACTACAACTTTGTTTTGTTGTAGTTTTTTCCGACATTTCTATCAGTAATAATAAAAATGTGCTGTAATCAGCAGTAAAAGTATTCAGGTCCTTTACTTAAAAGTACCAATGTAACGCTGAAAATACTCAGTAAAAGTGTAGTATTCAAGGTTGGATACAAGTACAAAGAAACATCCTCAAAGTAACAAAAGTACTGGTAGTACAGAAAATGCCCCTTGACTGCCTTATTAATAGTCACTGCTCATCCAAAAGAAGCCAGGTGAGCTGGCCGTCTGATTGGGGGGGGTGTCCTGGGTGCCTCCCACCGGAGGTCCAGCTGGCAGGAGGCCCCAGGGTAGACCAGGAACATCCTGGCAAAATTATATATCCCATCCCATGTAGCCTGGGAATGCCTCAGGACACCCCGGGATGAGCTGGAGAATGCTGCTGGGTAGAGGGACGTCTGGGCCACCCTACTGAACCTGCTGCCCCGTGACCCGACCCCAAACAAGGGGCTCATAACGGGTGGAGGGATTAATAGTGTTAATCTTCATCACCACTTCACTGTTAGAACTACTTTATAGTATTAACTACTTCATATACAGTTCACCACTTTAGTGGAGTGGCTCTGAAATTAGGGGGTGGGCCGCTCCAAAGGTCACCATATACAGTAAGTCTGTGGGGTCGTCACATGACTAATGGGAGATTAAAGAAGAAAACACTAAGTTCTTATGTACTGTTTAGTGAGTACCCAACATCAACAGTAAACCATAACTAATAAGCAGATTGTCTGTCCAATATGGTAACAATAACGCAATCCGTGTGACTGTCCCAGCAGCAGCACCACTGGACCATCATCATCATGGAAACTAAAAGTTACAATCATGGAAGCATCGCCGTTTGGTGAGGTTTAGGTGTGTCAGAATTGTGGTCAGACTAGTGCTGGGGTTACATGACTGCTGGTGGTTACAACCTACTGACACAAGTGACTTGTGGAGCCACTGTTAGCAGGAGGACGGTCAGATACAAACGGCATCAGCAGTGATACAGCAAAACACAGCTGTACTAATGAAGCACAAACATTGCTGGGCAGGGTGGCCCTTCCCTCTGTCTGTCTCAGACTCAAGTTAATTCCACCTTCAGTCTACCCAGACAGATATTGGCTCCATTTAAACCTCTGTCTGCTGTTAATCCCTCATTTCTGTCCTTTCCTTTCCTTTTAAACACAAACAGAAACCCGCCGTCTGTCAATCTCTGGATGCTCTGTCGTGCTCTGTTAGCCTCTAGACGCTCTGCCGCGCTCTGTCAGCCTCTGGACGCTCTGCCGCGCTCTGTCAGCCTCTGTCAATCTCTGGATGCTCTGTCGCACTCTCTCAGCCTCTGGACGCTCTGCCGCGTTCTGTCAGCCTCTGGACGCTCTGTGAGCCTCTGGATGCTCTGTTACACTCTATCAGCCTCTGGATGCTTTGTCAGCCTGTGTTTCCTCTCTGGCCCTGGTTATCTCGTCTCTTTGAGGAGCACATTTCAGCCTCGTCACCCTGTCGGCAGTGTGCCTCAGTCTGCTGACACTAATGAAAATCATTTCTGGCAAATCCAACTAGACCTCAGAGGGGAGACACTGCTGCTGCTCAGCAGCTTAGAGGAAGCATCCAACCAAAAGACCTCTAACACCATCAGACTCCTGCAGGAGGCACTGGGGTTGCTGCATGTAAGAGATGTCGTATTTCACTCAGCTTCCTGTAAAACTGACCAGTATATAAACTGAAATGTTACATAATTATTTACAGCTTTCCAAGTTCCGACTACTGAGCAGCTTCTATGGTGGTTTTGTATCTGTCCTGTAGTCACAATGCAACACTCTGATAGAAGCTGCTTTATTTTGTGCCCGTTTCAAGCTAGGTGCTATGCTTTTATGTAGAGGGGGTGGCAGAGACGAGGAGTACATCCGAATTCTCTCAACCTTAGTCTTTCCCACGTGAGCTGTTAGGAAAAGATGTGAGGAGAGGAATTAAAGAAATGGTTTTAGAGACATGAGCCTTCATCTGTAGCATCCAAATACCAAGTGATTTCTGATAAAGGTGCATCTTCCATAAAATACTTCTTTGAATGATGGTCTCATTTATCCTTACTCATGTCTCCTCCAGGCAGCACCCTGGGTCCCCAGAGCAGATGTAGGGCACATCCAAGGAGTCGTCTATCTGCTCTGAGGAGCGAGGATACACCAGAGCATCCCTTGTGGAAGACTTTTAGGAGCCAACACACCCCTTTGCCCGAAATCAGTTTGCATTTCAGAGGGCAGAATGTCTCATGTCAGTAATTGTCCCCTTGAATCTTACATGGAAGGAACTAAAACACAAGTGAGTGGAACATGGGCCTTTATAAGTAGCTGGATATCCAGGGATTTATCCAGGGACATCACCATGATGGGCGACAGGAACGACTTCTGGGGGAACAGGGATCGAGGAGAGATGAACAGTGACATAAGGGACACTTTGTTGTTGATGGATTTAGTTTTTTTTTTCTTTTAAAAGAGGCCTTATTACATCTGGCAGGGGACTGCAGGTTAAGATAAACCTCTGGCCAGCTCTGGTGCATTTACATAAACACTTATCAATGAACTCTGTGACTGTGTAAAATAAATTAGGTATGATCTCCCTGAGCAGTGAGTCGGTGTGCATGAGCTCGTCACTGGATGCCAGGGCCTCAGTGTCTGTATGTTTCTCTTGTTAATGTTAGTTTGTATGTGTGACACACGTGCGTGTTTGTGTGTGCGCCCGGGGGCATCCCTAAACTAGAAAAACAATTACATTAAGAAGAGTCAGCCAGGCGGGGTGGAGGGGAGAGCTGGCTGCAGGGAGGAGGTGGAAGACAAACATCCTGCCAGTAAACACTCTCCGAGAGGAGACAAGTGGGGTGGGTGGCGATATCCTGAGGCGTCTTTGTGCTGGAGCTGAGCGACTCTGCTGTGTGTGTGCAGGCCGTGAGGCTTCATCTCAGGTACTGAGCGTCACTTTAATTGATAACTGGGATGCAGACTGCAGCCTGAGCACTCGACCAGCACAGCTGCTGCTCCGTCCTCCATCGCTCCCGTCTGGAGTCTGACTGATTCTTTAAAACACAAGCTGGGGGGTTGGACCAGGTCTCTTCTCTGTCAGGTTTACACTTAAACAAACATGTTTCCATCTTGACATCGGTCAGTATGACTCTGATACCTGTATCCAGAGGCGGAGCACCTACAACCTTTATTTCAGCACACTGCCATAAAAAGCAACACATAGCCACAAGTATGTGGATGCCCAAACACTTCAGCCTTGTTATAGTGACACAGTGTTCATTAAACCTCTTGTGGAGATGTCTGCTGTTTGTGTGTGAGTTTCTGAGGGACCATCCAGAAGCTCTATATTTGCGGTTCTTACCCTCTTTTTTTTTTTGGGCCCCCTTTAGAGGATGGAAATATTTTTGTAGCACCTCAGATACTTTGTCAGAAAACAACACACTGCTGGTGCTGAACACTTTACTGTGTTACTGTTGTCACAGTCCCAGTCCTGGGTCATGTTTTCCCTGTTGCTCTAGACCCTGCCCCATGTCTCAGGTTCTTTTCCCATCTGTGTTACTGGCTCCACCTAAACTCACCTGCCTCCTGTCTGTGCAGTTACCTACTCAGCAGCCAGTTCTCCCTCCCTGCAAGGATCACAGAGACCTTTCATGTGACATTCCCGTGGTCGTGCTGTGATCCTCCCGTGGTGTCAACCTGGTTTTCCAGCGGACTAACTTTTCCTGCCCTGTTTGTATTGTTGGATTTCACCTGTGTGTGGACATTTGAGTCTCCTGGTTTCTGGTAAGTGTCTGTCCCTGGGTCCCTGGGTTGTGTTGTGAGTCTGCCCTCGTCTGGACAGTTTTCCTACGTCTGCTTGTCTGGAGATGAACTGTTCTGGCCTTTGGAATAAACCACTTCCCATACTGGTCCATTTGCTTTCCCCACTGGACACTTCCCTGAGTCCTGGTGTTGCCCTGAGCTGACCACTTACCAGAAGGTGAGCTCTTGCTTGGACACCGTGTGAAGCCAGAGTTTGCTTCGAGTCACTCTGACTTGGACATACTTTTTTAAGCTCCTGTTGGAAACAAGACTGTCAGAAAATGTTTACCTGCCTGTCTGTCGTTATACATAGTGTCCTCAGTTTGTTTTATAGAAAAATCTTCCAGCTGGAAATGTAAAACTGCATTGGAGGCATTTCACTGCAGCTTCTCAACAGTAAACAACCAGTAAACAGGCAGTTTGTTGTCTGCACAGGGGATGGTTCTCTATCAGAGCTGCTCTCCTCTGCCTCTGTGTTCAAAGCTCTGTCGCTCTGTCTTTATGTCAGTGCACGTGTGTGTGTACATTCCTGTCCATTAGGTTCATACTGTAGGTTTCAGCAGTGCCGCGTTGTCTCTTCTCAGGCCCTAGTGTTGATTTTCTGACAAAGAAAAGTTCATGAAAAGAAACTTTCTGAGCTAAAGAAATGTTATTTGTGGCTTTGTTGGTTGTGTGGTCCAGAGTGAAGTGTATCAACATCCAGGCCAACATCACAACTAAATGTGGTGTAGGTGTCTGAGTACTTCTTCGACCACAGACCATGGGAGACACCAGGCGCATTGCAGTGTGAGCTGAGGGTAAATACAGCAGCTCTCCCTGATCTGCAGATCTGTGTCTCTCAGTGTGAGCTTCGTCATTAGGCGAACTCTTCCTCTGTTCGAGGTGAGTGCTGCAGGGTTTGGCAGAGACACTCGCGGTCATCGCCAGCAGTGTTATGTCCTTTATTTGGCGGGCTGTGAGAGTCGAGCAGCAGTGAGCAGCTAAGCTGTTTGTCTCTGATGAAGAGACAACAGCAATAGGAGCTGGACAACATACAGAGGATGTGCGTGTTGCTGTAGACGTTTAAATGAGATGAGGCGGTGATCAGCTTTTAGTGGTTGTGAAACAAACACAGGGATGATGGTTCAGTCAGGGGCCATGAAGTCACAGCAGACATCGTTTTGCTACTTTGTGTAGTGAGACAGTTGTGGCTCAGGGTATGAAGCAGCAGAGGTGAGATGGATCAGAAAGCCTGAGGTTGCGCTACTCTGCCAGAAAATACTGGGTGTGTCCCTTCAAACCTGGACCGGCCAGTACTAGGCCTGTACCGAGTCGTAGCACAGACACGTGTTGAGTGATTTATTGTGAGGTGACAGTTTGTGTCCCACCACATCTGAAACATGCAGTGTCTTAATGTCCTCGTCAACTTTACAAACTGTTTGGGATTCGAGGTCGTAGAGGGCTACGGGCACTGCAGCACTTGTGTTGGCCAGAAGTTCATCACTAAGGCAAGATGCTGATGGGACCTCCGGGAGGTCTTCTCTGTGGATGTTTAGTGTTGACAGATACCTGCTGGTCTCATGTTAGACACCTCAGAGAATCAGTCCTCACCTTTAACTGCACGACACGGTAACCAACAGTGAACTTCAGGTTTTCACTGATGCAATAAGAGCTCTGTGTGCTGCTGTTTGCTTTAATCATGCACCATGTGTTTTGTTCTGAACTGTGTGCACAGTGGCAGCATTTTTAACGCCGCCAAGTGCTCGTCCTTGCTGCGGTTATTATTATTCAGGAACTTCTCTCAGGACTTAAGTTGTGCTATAGCTTTTCATGCTGACTGCTGAGATTTACTGCAGATTGATTTGTCTGCCTTTGCCTGCAGCTGTCTCTGCCCTGACCACATGAACCCTCTTCTACAAACATCCTGAGCATCTCTCTGGGGCTCTGCACTTGGCTCCTGTAAAGTGAACTGTGACATATATCTATAAGTACATTTAGAGACCCAGCCCCTTGCCTCTGTTCTGCCCTGCATCTCTCACACTCACCTGCCTCTCCTCGGTCTAATCATCTCCTAGGGTCTGAGCCAGCAGGTGGGGTTCACATTCACCCACGCTCTCTACGGTGACGTCGCTGCCACCACAGGCTGTTTCCTCTGCTTCACCCTCTGAATCGTTCATCTCTCCTTCAGACTCTTGTTTGTTCCTGGTCTGTCTGCCCCGGTAATGATCTGTGTCACATCCCTGACTGTGAGTGTTTCTGTGCTCCTGCCACCTTCACCTGCTGGGTGTTTTGGAGGAAGCCTCCACTAAGACTTTTGTATGACCTACCTGGGTTTGTCTTTAATTTACTCTTGCACTACTTCCCCACTGGCCCAGTGAGCGTCACTCGACCAGCGTATTCTGAGTTCACCTGTAAAGATCTTAAAGAACTTACCTCAATGCTTCATGTCCTGACGTGCACTTGAGTCCTCTGCTCCAGTCATGACACAGAACCCATCTGGTCGCATCATATTTCCTTTCACTGTTGCAGTTGAGCTGTGTATTCTTGTCATTTCGGCCACAACATTCAAGAACAAACACTGAAGTTGGAGCAGGTTTCAGGTCAGGTTCTGATATGGCTCTGCTGTTCCTGTGTCTGTGCTCACCTACTGTAAATGTATGCATAATTGTAAATAATAGGTACTTGTTGCCTAGCAACAGTGACACAAGCATCTCGACGCTCCTGGTTTTTAAACATCGGGTGTGATCGCTGCCCGAGGATACGTTGGGCTGTTTATCTGTAACAACATTTTTAAGGTTCAATTTAGGTGTGTCAGGTTTTATATTTTTATAGAAATTGTACTGTAATGAAGGTGAACACACACACACACACATGCGGTGATCAGCCGAGCTTTCATGAATAACGGTGACTCATGTTTTGCTCCCTGAGGGCGATCAATTTAATCTGCTCTCATGGTGGGTGGAGAGTGTGCAGGTTGGCTGCTGTTTAAGAGCTGCTCTCCAGCACCGCTTCACTGCTGCAGGTATGGTGGAGCAGCAAAACTACAGCTGCAAGTGTGTGTGTGTGTGTGTGTGTGTGTGCAGGATTTTGTCCTTCCTCCATGTTCTGTGAAACACTGATGGCCTAATAAAGAAAGCTCCGTGTGCTCGGGTTTTTTGTCACGTCTGTTGGGATGACACACATTAGACTGCTGCTTCCTGAAGACGTTTCCTCATTAGGTTCATTCAAACCATTTTCTCTTGTACATCTCTCAGCACTTTTGCTGGTCATGTGAGGTCTGAACGAGTAAAGTGTAGAGATTTATGACTGATAAGGCCCCATTTATAGAGGCCTCCACCCTCCACTCTCTAGAACTGAACCAGTCTGGCCTCTTTGTTTGGAAAAGACTGGGGGAGACAAGAGAGACAGTTGCTCTGAGAAACAATACACCTTGAAGGGCAACTGCAGCTTATTCCAAACACACACACACACACACACACACACACACACGTTGTTGTGTAACAGCTCACCAGTGATGTGTGTAACGTGTCTGAGCTCTCGGCTCTGCAGGACAGTATTGTGGAGATGATTAAGCGTCTCCTGCTGATTCTGACTGAACATCTGACCGAGGCAAAGTTCTGCTTCATTTTATTTTAGCTTTGAGTTCTGTAGCTTGTGTCAGCTGGTAAAACTTGACCCACAGCTGAAGACTGAGGCCCCCTAACCTCCTCAGGGTAAGTGGTCTTTTCTGTGCATTGCAGCACACTAAGCGCACTTTCACATTATTTGGCCATTCACCTATTCAAATGCTGTCACATTCACACACCAGTGTCATTATTGAGAGCAACTGGGGGTTCAGTGCCTTGCTCAAGGACTCTTCAACATGTGGATTGGATAAGCCAGGAATCAAACCGCCAGCCTTCCGGTCAGAAGATTACCTGCTCTACCTCCCGAGCCACAGCT